TGAAAAATAATTACTTCATCGGCCACTAGAGGCATTTTTACAAAAGAAAGTTCGACTCGATGGGAAATGCCAAACCTACTTTACGGATAACTTTTTCTATCCCCGACGTGTCGTTTAAATACAAAGAATTTTCCAATTATCGGATACAATGAATGGAGCTTCCATAATTGCCGGGCAATTGAAATGGAAGAAAAAGATAACGCAGAATAATTACCCACGCAACGGGAGCTTTTTCAGATTAACGCGGATGGCCGTTACGCTCATCACGACCAAGTCGTCAAAGGACCGAAACCCTAGGTTGAATGCCCTTGTGCAAGCTATGGGCATTTATAATACACGTGCCGCAAAGTGGCTAAATGTCGCGAACCAGTTCCTTTCGTATGTGTCGAGTGAGCGTATCGGTGCGCACTCCCATACGTTTTTCATTCAAAACCACGGGCTCGCACCTTCGTTTTCACTCGCCTCGCCCGATTAATCCACACATTTCTCATTTAAAACGATCCATCTCGATGTAATAAGCAACAACAACAGCAACCAGCAATCAAAAAATAAGAAAAACAAAGCAACAAAATAGTTTAGAGTTCCCGAAGGTTTTACGTTCGTAAGAGCCAACGCTGACTTGAAATCCTCGACCGTTTCGCTACGAAACAAACGGGAGTAGAATGGCGTTGTTAATATACTTACTTTAAACCTCTACTTTGCATAATTTATTCCAGAATTCGTTAATAATATAATGGGCTCGTGTTGAATTTTTAAAACACATGTATGCGAATGTATTACTTAAGAAGAATACAAATTATATATCTTCCGAGCGAGCGGTAAAATGCAATTTCGAAAGGAACTTTTTCTTTCAATCGATAATGCATTTCAAAATCAAGCAGACGAGAAATTATTAATATTGGCCGTGAAGTGAATTAATTATAGGCCATTTATTTGTATTTCAATTAACCCCAAGCAAATAAATATTTATAAAATAACGGATGGAACGAGGATTGCTTTTAATTTTCTTACAAATTGCTGTACCTCTTACCGACTTATCTTCGCAATAACATAATGCGCGTGTGAAAATCGCCCAGCCAGACAGACAAAGACGCGATAAATGAATAATAACTCCTACTTTTCGGGCCTCTCAACATTCACAGTGCCTTCATTATTAACGAGGCCGAAGGTTGACTATGTCGCCTAAACCTGCCTTCGATATCACACCGACATAATTCATGTAAAACGGGGGGTTGCGATGAAAGACACATGGACGCTCGACTAACTAACGCTCGTGCCTTGCTGACGAAGGCGCACGACGGCACACGCGTCAATAATTTTCGTCGACGCGGCGAAACTCAAAGTACCGTTCCACCGATAACGCAACTACGTCCTCGTATCGTTCGGTAACCGTCGCTTAGTCGCGGTGAGTCGGGGATACCGGCCGAGACGATGGTCACGCCGGGCCGTGGGCGCCTAATGCCTAACATCATCAGTCAGCCTAAAGATGCCTAAAGATGCATAAAGATACCTAATGAGAATGAGAATGCGAAGGCAGCGGCCTGTCGAAATGCCGGGTCGTTCGCATTGAGCATCAAATTGAAAAAGAGGTTAACGTACGCGACGCAAAATATTTTGGGCGGCGGGGGAACGTTGGCTGCTCCTTTGGCGGTGGAGGTGGCGCAGTGGCGATTAACTTCCCCGCCCGAGATTACAGCCGAGATATTGCGAGATATCGAGCGACTTGGTTGCTGCACGCGAGAGACTTCAAAGGTAGTAATAAACTACCTCTAATGAATCCCCTTATCGCCATCGCGGCTACCCTCGGTCGCCTTTTCTCTCCTCCGTCCCAACGCCTTTCCGCCCCCGTGTCAACTAATCTTCCGTCCCCTCGATACTCCTTGACCAACTGGACGATCCAATGGCGAAGGCAATGTCTCGAGGCAATGCATCTCCTTACGCTCTCAACGCTCATTTCGGTTGTTGTTGCTCTCACTCAATAACGCGAGGTTGGGAGTTAAAGTGCTCGGCGATTGATGTAGATCATGCCTCTGACGAAAGACGGATGATTTTCACCTATCGGCAACAACTATTTCTATTAAGCCAGAGTCTCGATTAATCGACGTATTATCATCGTTCTACTGCTTTCGGTGGGACGGTGCGCGGACATTACATATGTGTGGCGATGAAAAATTAATCGTCCGTGAGGCGGGGGTACACAACGATGTATCGTCGTGTAATATTCCCAATGGTGCATCGGATTCGTGCCGGCGATGGGCAATGCTTGATTCCTCTTATTGCGTCATTTCTCAAATGACAAAATTGTAAATTTATGTTTATTTCAGGGCATCTGAAAATAAACGCGGAGCGAAAAAAATAGCCGGAACCGGCGGCGACTACTGCGAGGGCTCATTATATACAGGCTCGATTTAATGAAAAAAAGTTAATTAAAAAACATTTCGCAATAGTCCAACCGAATGAAATGAAAATTAAAGTACATAATTAATCACGACGCACGCTTTGTACATGCGTGCTCTTTAAACAGAACATGGCAAAAACAAAAAACAGAAAACAAAAATAAAGAAGAAGAAAAAAAAGATGCTATACGAGGGTGAAAGCGCGAGAGGGCTGAGAGAGGGGACGGAGGTGGAGGCGAAGGTGGAGAATGAGGACGAACGTGCGGATGAGGAGAAGGAGGGGGATCGTGGGTGGGGGTTGCGGTGGGAGAGAGAGAGAGAGAGAGAGAGAGAGAGAGAGAGAGAGAGAGATATTAACGAAGCCATGAGAGGAAATATGAAGGAAAAAGGAAGATTGCCCAGGACTCCCCTACGTGCTTTATTAAAAATCGCTGGACTTAAATAAATGCGGGAGTAGTCCTCGGCGCCGAGGCGCTGCCGGCACATCGTTAAGGAAGTATAAAACTAGCGTATATTGTCTTAGCTACCACACCATTAGGTGGGCGCATCAGCGGAGCGTCAAGTCCAATCATGTTGATTCAACAAAGTACCCACCTACCGAATTGCCGGAATTTGGTATTCGGCCAGGAGCGAGTGGATGCGTTGTTCCACACATGCGAAAACTGGGAGACGCGCGCGCGCCCGCTCTCAGGGCTAGTATGGGTAGATTCTCGTCGGGGCAGGGCGGCGCGTAGAAGTGACGACCCGGCGGATTGGCGGGGTGTAGAGTGAAGAGAATGAACGAGAGAGAGAGAGAGAGAGAGAGAGAGAGAGAGAGAGAGAGACGGGACAGGGAATTCGAATCGGTCTGATTGCGCATCTAGGCCAAACCAGGGACCGCGGGCGCGACATCGGCTACGGCGGAAAGCGCTGCGACGATTGGTGCCGTCGGGGCGGCGCGCGCGCTTTGCCCCGGGTGGGTGCTTCCCAACCCCCTTCCCAAGTTATGTCAGGGAGGGGGTGATTGGACGCATCCCGGTGATTGTGGCACTCCAACCCCTGGCTTCCAGTCCACCGCAGCGGCGGCGGCGATGGCGGCCGTAGCGGGAGCAGGAAAGCTCCTCCGCCTCCACCTCCGCGTCGCCCTGCGCGCCTGCAAATCGAGTTTACCCTCTTGCCGTGGCTCAGCCCTTCAATCAAACTGATTGAAACATTCCTTGAATCCGAAAGAAACGAACCACCTCACCCCACTACTCCTTGACAGACCGCCCCCGCCCGCCCCTCTCACCAACCTAATTCGCCAACCATCGCTCGCCCCCCCCCCCCC